CTCAGTAGAGCTGCTGCTGGATAGTTACAAAGAGTCCCAAAATCCCCAGTTAAAATACCCCCATCCCATTGCTCTCCAACAAAGTCACAATGAAGAAAAGAGGGGGATCACAGAGGGAATTTTGTTTATTCTCCATCGACCCAAGCTGGCTGCCAGAAGGATGATGCTGATCCAGCCTGGCATTTTCCAAGTAGCCTTATGCCAATCACAGACTCTTTACTAACTAGAATGGAAAAATAAAGGCAAAAACATGAGGCTATTTTAGTCTTTTTGCTGAAACTACAAGTTTCACCTTCTAGGGCTCTATCTATAAATATACATATATATATATATGTAGGTGTGTTTCAAATGCAAATATCTCAATTTGTGCAAGCCAAAGAAAACTCGCTGGTGGAAGGAGGCTGCACTATTTTGTTTCTCCAAATGTTTTCTTTGATTTTATTTTTTTTATTTATTTTTTTTTTTTCATAGCTTTTCAGTAGAAAGACTTGCCTGGGAAAACTCACTCTCTGCAGTCCCCAGTGCTGCAGGCAGCCTCTCTTACCTTGCATGATCCAAGCTTTGTAATTCAAGAACTTTTGGGGACACACCAAACACCCTTTGCTTCATAAAAGATAGAGCTGCTGTTCCTGCAGTTTTAAAGGCAATGGGCCTCAATTTCCCCTAAAATGAAATTATTCCCAGGCAGGGACCGAGCTGATCATTTCTAGATAGCAGCATCTCAGTGTGGGATTGAACTCGGCTCTTTCCAACACGGGAAAATCCTTAAGCCAGCTGTAAAAAGAAAGGAATTACCCAGTTAAGTCTCAGATCTGCCATCTCCAGGCCTTGGGCTGCAAGTCCTGCTCTCTGCAGCCTCTCCCCACCTCAACACACACAACTCCTGACCAGCAGGACCGGTGACGCACCAGCTTTGCCTTTCAGCATCTCTTGCTGCTAGAAATAGACCTCTCAGAAAAGAGCTTTTCTTGGCCTGACACTGTCCCCAGTCCTGTTTTCATCAGAAACACTTTTAACTCACCAACTCTGGGTGTCAGCAGCCTTAGAGAGGATAAAACTACTTTAGAAGATGCAGCAACTCCTTGCTCTGAAGTCTGGGTCCTACATACCCTTGAAAACCACACCTCAAAGGGACAGCACCCCTAAATATATTCTATTCTGCTATTATTTCAGGCATAAAAGGAGTCTGAGCAGCAACAAATAAACCTCATCACTTCTGCATGTCCTGAAAGATTAGGAAAAAGCAATGATGCACATTTGAACCACTCAACATCCCCTCAGCTAGCAGAAGGCTTCAGAATTCCCTGCCCTTGAAAAACAGGATGGGAATAAAAGGAGGAAATAGGATCCACGTTCTGAGAGGGCAGAATGAGGCAGCTGGGATGAGCTGGTGCTGGGGAGTGCCGGCATTTCCCCGGCTTCTCCGGGAGGTGCGGTCGCGCAGGGCCCGGCTGTGCCGGCTCCAGACCGACGCGAGATGGTGCTGCTGCCCCAGGCACCGGCAGGGATGCGGGGCCGGGATGCGGGAGGAGGGCTGGGATGGGGATGAGGCTGCCCGGACAGGGATGTGGGACGGGGATACGGCCGGCAGGGCAGGGATGCAGGTGTCCAGGCAGGGATGCAGGGCAGGGATGCAGGTGCTCAGGCAGGGATGCAGGTGTCCAGGCAGGGATGCAGGTGCTCAGGCAGGGATGCAGGTGTCCAGGCAGGGATGCAGGGCAGGGATGCAGGGCAGGGATGGGGTCTCTGGCAGAGAGATTCAAAGCAGAAGGGCAGACATGTGGTTGCATGAGCAGGAATACAGGATAGCAGGAATGCAGGGAAGCTGGGGCAGGGATGGGAGAGGCCAGAGCAGGGATGCAGCTGCCTGGGCAAGGATGCAGGGCAGGGATGTGGCCACTGGGCCAGGGATGCAGAGCAGTGGGGCAGGGATGTGATTGCATGGGCAGGAATGCAGGGAAGCAGGAATGCAGGGATGAAAGCAGGGATGAGAATGGCTAGAACAAGGATGCTCCAAGACCTCTCTCTTTGCAGCCCCTCACACTCTTGCACCGCACCCAGCAAGGAGTAGATGAGGGAAATGCAGATGGGAAGAGCTGGCAGGAGCCAGTACAAGTTCCTGCAGCTCCTGGTTTTCAGCACATTTAAAGTCTGTTCATAGAAAGAGAGAGAGATGAGTAAATAAACTCTATTCCAAAGCACTCTCCACCTCAAGAGATTTGCTGTCGAAGAAGGAAAAGCTGAGGTTCAGAGAGAAAAAGAGTCTGCTTAAAAGTTGAATAAGTGAAAAGACATCATAAACCACATAAACAATTTTTTTTCCCCTGTGCAAGTCAAATATTTGTTCCCAACTTGAGCTTCTAAAGAAAAGTTGGTGAAGCTGTTCCTAATTTTTTGGTGAAATTCTACTATACAAAGCACATGCCAGCATGTTTTTCCTTCTGGAAAAACATGGAGCTGAGGATCCAGCAGACTTCATCAGCAATCCAACACCCATGTGTGCAACCCCAGGATAACAAACCCAGGCAGGGACATGGGGGGAGAAGTGGGGAATGAGCATTTGGAAGAAGATGATTCTGTAGTGAATTTAAAAGGAGTTATCAGCTGCTCCTGGGTAAATCAGCTTGGCTAAGATAAGAACCAGAACAAATACTTATTCTAAATTTACACTGACCTAAACCTGAACGCTTCAGGGTTGAATAATTTTGGTGAACTATATATTTTTGTGAAATCATTTCCTGGGCTTCTTGCATGGGTTGAAAGAGATTTAGCTGGGAAGGATAAATCCTGGCTGCTCATATACTGTTGTCAAAAGGATGGGATGGAGACACAGATACAAACACTGATAGATGGCAATAAAAAAGATCTTTATAGTGGTTCAGTTTGTGCTGTTTCACTGTGGTAAAACTAGACCAAGATTTCTTTGAGAGTTTTTTTTAATGTCTCCTTGTTTAAAGGTCTCATCCAGCAAAAAAAAGGTTCCAATTTTTCAGAAAGCCCTTCATGACTGCTCATACACAGACAGGCCTCCCAAATCCTTCTCTTAGGAGAAGTCTCAGTTTAACTCCCCGAGATGGGGTCACCCAGGAAATTTGGCAGTTTTCTACCACACAGGCTAATTTGGAGAGATTTAAAAACATTCCTCAGCTTGCCTGCCCTGCCTGAAGAGAGAATCAGACCCACTGCCTGCACATCTGGCTAGGTGGAGCCCACATCTGTACATGCAGCTGTGGGCTGTGCTGCTCAGCCCCAGGCACTGGCCTGCAGCAGGTATCGAGCCAAGGCTGGAGGCTGCATCCAAAACCAAGCACCTTTCCCACCACCACACCACCCATCTCCCCCCAGGACAGGCGTTCTGCCTGTGAGAACCCCGTGCTGACACAGTCCTTGTCGTCACAGACACAAAACTGTAGCCTGGCAGAAGGCACAGAAACATCCAGCTCTCAGCCCCCCTCCTACCTGCACTGCTGGCTTCCCTTTAAGCCCACGTAGGAGAGATTTTTTTCACCAGGAAATATTCACACAGGAATTTTTCCCTGCTCTATCTCTCCCTCCATCCCCAGAGGAATAAGAGCACAGGCACAGTGTGACAGGAACAAGCAGAAGCCAAGTTTACATAAACAGTGGAGAGCAGGACGTAAAGGTTATTTGTGCCTGCGGGCTGCTTGGGGAACCTGTGAAATACCGAGGGCTGGCACTAGACAGAAAATTCCTGTAACGCTAAAGACTGCAGCTTTTTGAAGTCCCCGAGCAGTGCAGGGGCAACTGGAGGCAAGTGTGAGCAGCTAGAGGAGGTGGTTCAATGTTATTGAGCACCTCCCATCCCTTCTTTGTGTTGGGCAACAGCCTGATCCCAACCTCAGCTCAGGAAACATCCACTCGCCTGGCTGAGACCTCCTGTCCCAGGACAGGAGTGGGCAAAGACTGCAAAATTTCCATTAATGTTGTACTCCACACTTGCAGCTCTTGATGAGGAGTAATTTGAACTCTGAGAGAGTTATTCACATTTCATGGATAAAGAAAACAGAGCCATGGAAATCGGGTACCTTATCCAAAGCCCCAGAGCAAATAGAAGATCCAGGATTAGAGTGAACAGAGCAGTAAAGATCTCCTCCTTCCACCCCACAGATCACAGCAGGAAAGTGGCTGGTCCAGATTCCAAAAAGCAAAAATCACCCAGGAACAGGCAAACCTTGCAAAGTTGTGCAGGGTCTGGTTTGTGGGACAGGAGAACAAGTGGAAATCAGGGGATGGCAAACCCTGAGGAGCACATTCAACTCTCAGTTCCAACAGGATCTACTCAGGGTCACCTTAAACCAGTCTCCTTCATCCCTCTGCGCTGGGAATGGGGACAAAAAGCCCTCTGGCTATCTTTGGCTGATTTTCCTTATTCTCTGCTCTCTTACAGGGAGAAACTCTCTCTTATCACATGCTCATGGACAACCCAGATTAATCAGACAATTCTGGAAGCTCCCAGACTATACTACAGCAAAGAGCCAAGAAATACTGCATTTTTTTTACACTTTTAACCCATCTTCAGATTTCGGAGAGGAACTAACAGTGTTTCTTTCCTACCAGAGATCTTGCTCAAGGGAAGGCAGTTGAGAGGGAAGCAGTGAGTTACAAGTGGGCTCACAAAGCACCAGTGTTTGCATGTGTATAAATACATTTCTCCCGGTGTGTACACACCCACACGGACTCGGGATGAGCAGGGTGGAGGTGGAGCATGTAAATTTGGGCAGAGATAAAAATCAAATAAAACCCAACCAAAATTAACAAGGGGAAAAAGCCTTTTACCCAAACAAAGAAAGTCATTTTGCAGCCACCGATTTTTTTTTTCCCCCCCTTCTTTCTTTTTATTTTTTTTTTTCAGGTTTATTTATTTCATTTTTTTTTTCCCCTAATGCCGGCATTGTGCAGAGCACTGTTCCTTTGCGAGATTTCAGATGTTGCTGTGTTCAAATGAATCCCATTTTGTCACAATCAATGACTTTCCCCTCTCGTTATTACCTGCAGCCCTCCGGAGCCGGCGGCGCTGCTGGCAGAGCTCCAAGCCCAAACCTCTCCAAAACTCACAGCGAAGGTAAACGGGAGAATGTCACCTACACCTGGGTAATTTTTAATTTTCTTTCTTTCTCCCCGTACTGTTAAATTACCTCCAGCTTATTTGTCTGGCTAGAGGTTAATGAAACATTAATGATGTTAATGAGCCTTTCATGCTGCAAGTTTTTTCAAGAAAGAGATAGAATGGCTGTTTTCCTTCCCTCTTAATCTTTTCCATCATTCGGGACTTCCAGGGCCAAAGCAATTAGTGACTCAGGCAGCTCTGTCTCCCCTCCTGGTCACAGCCCAGTGGGGCAAAGAGAAGAAACCTATTAAAGCCCCTTCACATGTCCACAGGTGAGGAGCTCATGGGCTGATGCAGCCACGCTGCTTTAGCCAGAAGGCAAAACGCCATTCAGGGGGAAAAACAGGGGGAATTAACAATCTGGAGCTGTCGGGAATGGTGAAGTGTCGCCATTAGCCGTGCACTGTTTGTTAGGGAAGGTGACAAGTGATTTTCAAAAGGTTCGAGGAGGTTTGGGTAGGGCTCCACAGCCGAGGGGTGGCTTGACAGCTTCCCCCATCAAACCTCATGTCGGTTTTCATCCCGCTGAGCTCTGATTCCGGGTGCATGACATTCCTCTGGATCACGGCCAGCCAAAAATCAACCCTTCCTTCCCAACTCATTTGGTTTAAACACAAAAACTGTGGGAGGGGGAAAGACACAGCAAGAGAAAAACTAAAAAATTCAGAGGAATGGCTGCTCTCCACCCTGCCCATCTCCACCCTGCTGCCTCAGACACCAGGCAGGATTTCCTTATCGTTCCTTAATCCCCTCAACACAACCACAGAGTGAAAAAAAACCCCCACTGGTCTCATCCCATTTTACAGGTGGCTCATCCCACACTGAGCAAGGAGGGCAGGAGCTGGGGTCCCTTCACTGTTGAGCCCCCGTGGGCCCTGGTGAGGCACCGGGAGGTGACGCTGCCTCCGCTTCCCGCGATGGATGCGCCGGTGCCAAAGGGCACACAACTAAATTATGAGCTGGCACTTACAAGGAGTGAGGGCTCTGGCTTGTGCTTCCATTAGAGGGTATCTATCTGCATTTAAAGCTGTGGCGCTCTGATAAGGAGAAGGGAGGAAGCCAGAGAGACCTCAAAAAATTGCCTGGACGAACTCCGAGATAAGACTTTTCAGACAGACAAAAAAGCCTGTCCTGATTTATAGAGCTTCGTCCGTCCTTGACAGTACCTCTGGAGCTCCTGATCTTGGCTGTAAAAAAGAAAGTTCCATCAGAAATGTGTGTTCTGCCCCCAAACTATTTATCCAGACAACCTGTCAACCTACCACAGCCAGATCCTCTCTTGACATGGACAAGGCAGCAACACAATCGGCCGCCTTTTATTTTTACCCTCTCCCTCTCCCCTGCTCCTGCTAATCACAGATGCTTTGTCCGCTCAATAATAAAGATCCCGGGCGCCTCAGTTTCCATTTTTTTGTTATCGTGCCTTTCACCCTGCATGTTTATTTATGACTGCTACAAAGCGCTTCCACGGGAAGATGCCATTAGGCTGGAATGATGCTCCCTTGACATTGAGATCAGAATCGGCACAGGAGCCATGCAACAACTCATCTTTATGTTTGCTTGTCTTAATTCCTTTTCTTTTATTGTTGTTATTATTGCTATTATTAGTATTATTATTATTGTTATTTCCAGAGCAAGGGCTGCCAGGGAGGGAGAGGCAGAGGGGCACGTGCAGCACAGAGATGAAGCAGCTCTGGCTGAGGGCACAGATGGCATGGGCTGGCTTGGATAATCCTGCCCTCTTCCAGGGCAGCTGCTGGCACATGGGCTGAACAAGCCCATTAAGAGAGCAGGACCCCACACTGACAAGGGCACAGGGATGGATTTACCCTCACTCTGTGGCTCTCCCCCCACAGCAGAGACAGAAATCCAAGGAAAGATGGATTTTGGGGAGCTGAGGTGCACTGCTGGCTCCCTGTTGAGGGGAGGGCAGTGCTGGGGAGCGGCCCATGATACTCAGAGGTCAAGGTCTCACATCCAGCCAAAGCCTCGTGGTCAGCCTGTGCTGATGGGGTCACTGGGGTGCTCTGCTTACAGAGCCTGGCTTCAAACTGGAAAACAGGAGCAGGCACACAGTGACACTGACTTGGACACCCTCTCCAGAGTCCCTATAACCCACCCAGCCCTGCTCTACTCTCTTCCCCTGGAAACTCCTGGCAGAGCTCACCATGACCACAGGACAGCTCTCCAAAAATGTGCAAACACCCCCGAGATCTTCTCAGTCTGCTCAGCAGATGAAAACGGGGGGGAACCAACTCTGCTGCACAGGAGTCAGCTGTCCCTTCTGCTTCCCAGCCCTCATCCACGCTAGAAGGTGGCCCTGGGACAGGGGACACACTCCCTTTCCAGCGCTGTCCCCCAAAGGACGGTGTGCCCTGTCTGCCACGCTCGCGCAAGGCGCTGGGACAGACAAAGGGAGGGTTTTGTGGGATCTGGCACCGCTTCCAGCCGCCAGCCACGGCGCGTCCTTCCCCGGCACCGGCTCCCTAATTAGTTCTATTGGTTTCAACAGTTCGGCGGGCTCAGGGAATGTAATATTTAACACCCTAGAGGGAAGCCTTTCACGCCGATGCCTCTTTCATCATCTCTGCCCATCTGGTGCTCACTTCAAGCTCGCAAAGCACCACCTGCTTGGGAAACAATGAACTCCTGTGGCTCTCTGTCTCCTCCCGACTAGCTGGACCCTCCAGGAAAGGCATGTGGGAGCAGCCCTCCCCAGGGCAGCAAGCCTTGACACCCATGGTGCGTGTCGTGTTCACTCAAAAAGGGATTATTAGTGTGTGTTTATGCCATTCTCATCAGGATGCTGATTCCAGGGGAGCAATTTGTCTCTTCATGGCTTGCTCCACAAGAGCTCAGGAAATGCACAACACATCCATGGGGATGGGGAGAGGGATGAACAGACCTCTTGTGCTCCCCCTTTCTCAGCGGTGACAGCCTCACCATGGCCAGCCTTCCCAGATGAATCAAGGATGGATATCTGGGCAAGGGCCATTAGCAGGGAAAGGTGGGGAAGGATGGGTGGTGCAGCAGCACCAGGTAGTGGGAGCTGGCTGTGTGACACGGTGACACCCATGAGAGGCGTCACTCTCCCCTGCTGCAGTGGATGGTGCCACATGGCCACAGACACTGCACCATTACAGCCTCTCTAACAACAAGACTGAGCAGAAATGGGAATTGAGCCCATAAAACCATTTGCTTTCTGCAGCCACAGCAGCACAGCTGACGCTTGGAGACACCACCGTGTCTGGAAATGATTAGATTCCTTCCAATGACTGACACCTGTTAATAACCTGGAAGATGGGTAGAGCATACTCACATTGTCATCTCCAGCTATCTACAACTTCATTTTCCATCATCTTTGTCACTCAAGGACAGCAGCAAAGGATATTATTGCTACTGGTATTGTTATTGTTATTTATTTAAACCATGCAGCAACAAATCTGCAGGTATTGAGCTGGGTTGGGCAGACCAGCAGATTCTCCTTCAGATCAGAGGGAAAATAATGGGGAGCATTATGTATAATGTATTTTTCTATTAAATTAAAATAAGCTTCTCTTCACAAAGTTTGGTGTGTTAAGTGACACTGGGAAGGACAGAGGGTTTAACCTCATGCTCAGGGAAGATGGAGAGGATGGATGGCTGGATGGATGGATAGATGGATGGATGGATGGATGGATGGATGGATGGATGGATGGATGGATGCTCAATCCCAGGGAAATAAAACCACATTCTCTCTACACAATGCTGAACTGCATTTCAGGGCCTCCTGCCTCTTCACATAAACCCTATTAGTCACTCATCAGTGCTAAAAAAATAATAAATAAATACACCAGTGCACAAGAGTGCCAAGGGCAGCGAAGTTAGAGGACATTATAACTCTTTAATTACATCAGTCTTGGAAAGAAAAGAGCTGTCATTCCCTCCTCCTTCCCTCTGGGGAACACTCGGTATCTACCTTGGCCAGAACCCCCTTAGGAAAGTTGTCGCAACATATGTCCTCCCTGTGATTCATGCCAGGGATGGGTTTAGTCCTGTATTAATATTCCCAACCCACTATTTACTGTGCTGCATTCCCACACAGACACACACAAACAAATGCCTTTCATCTCCTGCCTTCATAGGAGGGAAGGCTGTTGTCTGCAAGTCACTGGGTTTAGCCAGGAGGGAGGATTTTCTTCTCAGAGCACCTTAAGGAGGGTTTAAAAACATGATTGAAAGGAAACAACCCCTCGAGGGGCTGAATACTCTGCCCTGGGGACATTAAACATGACCAGTCACCACCTCCCACCACACAACCCATCATGCTGCTCTGCCACGCCAAGAGCCATCAAAGAGCATCCAGAGAGTTCTGAGAGTTTCTTCAAATAAAGAATGTTTTTACATATATTTCTCCCTGACAAAAATGCTCTTTGTAGAAATGAAAACGGTTGTCACGAACCCATCGCCCACCTCCTAAAAGATCCCATTACATTTCTGCATTGAACTTCTTTTTCATCACGAAAGTTATTGGAACAGCGGTGGCAACAGCCAATAGTGTTTTCGATTAAAAATGTATCACAGCGTTTTGTGATTTAAAAGCAAACAAACAAGAAAGGCGCCATGAAATGTTAATGCGCACGTGAGCGGGTTTGATTCCTGTTTGCTGTTTGTTTGTCAAACATTTTCAACTATCAATTAATTATCAAAACTGGGCCAGAAGTGGAGCCTGATCCACACGCCCTGTGACACCATTCAGGAGGATCCAGCGGCACCAGTGTTCCCGCGAGGATGCACAATTCCGGCTGCGGAGCGTGGCCACGGGGTGATTTCAGGAAGGTGAGCAGTGAGTGATCATCCTTTCACCCCTTTAACCAACACAAGAGACTGATGGGGCTGCAGCCCATCAGCAGCTTCCTGGTCACCTTGGAGCCAAGGCCATCACTCTGTTGTCAGAGCCACATCACGAAGCCCAGGACATCTTTTGTGGCGATCTCTGATGCTGAAGGACACACCACGAGGGATGGGAAAGGACTGGCAGGTGCCTCGCTCAGCCCCAAATCCTCCCCTCCTTCTGCATTTTTAAAAGCCCTTGCAACACCAAAAGAGAGCAGGAAAAAGGCAAAAAAAAAAAAAAGAAAAAAAAGAGACACCATTGGAGCTGAAGCAGGTGAATAAGGAGATATGGCAGAGTCAGGAGGCAATGGCCCAAGGGACCCATTAACAAGATTCCTCCCACACAACATCCAGGAGCCCAGGCCATCAATAAAACCTGCTCTCCTCCCCAGCCAGCCTTGCGTGGCTCTGAACTTTCCAGCTACAGGCTGCAGATTGGATTCTTCCGTCATCACCATAAAACCAGATGAATTGTCCACGGCTCAGGGACCTGTGAGAAAGCAGGACCCTCTAGGCAAGAAGGCAGCACACCTCATAAAACCAGTGCTGACTTTCAGCAGGGCCTGTGCTGCCAGGCTGGGTGTCTGGTCCCACACGCTGCAGCAAACTCCTCTCCACACTTTTCATACCCAAAAAAGAGGGGTGGGGATCCTCTTGCAACCCAACAGCTCAGCGTGGTGATCTCTGCCACTGCACATCCCAGGGTGATGCCTGCATCTCAGACTGCCTTATCTCTCCCTTGCCAGGATGTGCAAGGAGCCCTCTCATCCCAAATTTCTCAGGAATAACTACAGCCCTTGCTTTGCTTTTTGCTGCAGGAGCCCAAAAAGCCACCAGAAAAAGCCATTTCACTGCTGGGTCTTCCACTTCAGCAGCAGGGAACTACTCCTGCATGGGCTGGGAAGGGCATCCTGGTCATGGACAATGTGTCTCCTGCTGTAAGATCCTGTGCCAGGCGGTGCTGGGAAGCATCACACCCCTCTAAGGTAGTGGGACACCTTGGCTGAGCCAATGTCAGCGCCACTAAAGTGCCACTTAAACAGGACATTCATCCTCTCTGCACAGCTCTGGGGGTGAAGCAACGACTCCAGCATTATGGAAAGCACCATCCCAGCCACAAATGAAGTCTTTGAGAAGCAGCAAGAAGCTGGAGCAGATAGAGCCTGGACTCTGCAACAACAGCATTTCTTCCTGTTTTGTTTTGCTTTGCATTCTCATTGCCAGGTTCATTATCTGGGCCCTTATTCCTGCACACGCTTCCCATTTTTCTCCCTCCTATCTCCCTGTGTCCAACGCAGCAGCCTGTATTAGTTTATGTTAACAAGCTGTGGCAGCAGTAATCCTGGCCTCTCCAGCTCCACTGCCTGTTCTGCTGACCAGGCACCTTGTTTGTCTCCACTGCCTGGTCCCCTGAGCCTTTCTCCACCTCAGATCCCAGCCTCCTGCAGGAATTACACTGGGATATATCCCGTGCCAAACGCTGTGACCACGCTGTCAGCGGCGTGCGAGTTGGAAAACATTTTC